AACTCATCATCATCTGAATTACCAATCTCCTTCGATAATACAAGTTCCCATCAGACTTGATTTCATAATCTTTTATCTCCTCATTCTCTATTTGTTGTAACTTCTTCAAACACTTTTCATATTTTGCTTGCAATTTCTTAATTCGATCTAACCATGATGGCTTGAGAGTCAATTCTGCACATATTGCACCATCTCCACTTAATGATAGTCTGGCATCTAAAGCTCACAAGGCTGCAAATGTTTTCCGACTTAAGGCATCTGCTACCACATTTGTTTTTCTGGATGAAAATCAATCACCACATCATAATCCTTTAGAAATTCCACCCATCTCCTCTGTCTTAAATTCAACTCTTTTTGAGTCATCAAATATTTGAAACTCTTATGATCGGTATATAAGTAGCAACGTTCACCATATAAGTAGTGACGCCAAATCTTAAGAGCGAACAATATTGCGACCATCTCCAGATCTTGCCTTGGATAATTCTTTTCATGCGATTTTAATTGTCTCGACGCATAAGCTACTACATTGCCTTCTTGCATCAACACACATCCCAAATCATTATGGGACGCATCGCTATAAACAACGAAATTCTTGCCAGACTCAGGTTGACCAATACTGAAGCTTCTATCAAAATCTTCTTTAGCATTTCAAAGCTTTCATGACACTCAGGAGTCCAAGTAAATCCAACATTTTTCCTCAAAAACTTAGTTAGGGGTAAAGTTATCATCGAAATGTTTTTAACGTATCTTCGATAATAACTGGCTAACCCCATAAAACTTTGAACTTTTGACACATTCTTTGGAACTTCCCACTCTAGAATTGCTTTAATCTTTTGGGGATCCACTCAAATTCCTTTTGAAAAAATTACATGTCCAAGGAATGTCACTTCGTTCAACAAAAATTCACATTTAGATAATTTAGCATATAGCTTCTTATCTCATAAAATATGTAAAACTATCTTCAAATGTGTACTATGCTCTTCTTCTGACTTCGAATACACCAATATATCATCAATGAATACCACTACGAACTAGTCCAAATAGAGTTGAAATATTCTGTTCATCAAATCCATGAAAGCAGCCGGTGCATTCGTAACTCCAAACGGCATCATGATAAACTCATAGTGACCATACCTCATTCTAAATGTCGTCTATGGAATATCTTTATCTTGCATCTTCAATTGATGATATCCCAATCGCAAATCAATTTTAGAGAACACTGAAGCTCCCATTAACTGATCAAACAGATCGTCATTCTAGGGAAGGGATACTTAGTCACCTTATTAAGTTGCTTATAATCAATGCAGAACCATCTTTCTTTTTTACAAATAAAACTGGAGTTCCCTACGGCGATACACTTGGTCTAATAAACCCTTTGTCCAACAGTTACTGTAATTGAATCTTTAATTCTTGTAATTCTTTTGGGGTCATTCTGTATGGTGCCATTGCAATAGGCGTTGTTCCCTATCTCAATCTGAAATTCTACCTCACTGTCTGGAGGTAAACCTGGCAATTCTGTAGGAAATACATCAGGAAACTCTCTGACTATGGGAATTTCTTCAATCAATCTCTCCTTGGTTATAACATCCAGCACATTAGCAATGAACCCCTGACATCCCTATAGCAGTAACTTCTTTGCTGACATCATCGATATCACATTTGCTAATGAATTCCATCCTTCCCTAAATACAATAACTTCCACACCTTCTGAACTTAGCAACGTTACCCTTTTCAGTCTACAATCAACATAAGCATGGTAATGATATAACCAATCCATTCCCAGTATCACTTCGAATTCGTCAAAAGGTAATTCCACCAGATTAGCATGAAATTCAATTCTCTGAACCTGTATGGGATACCCCCGACATACCATATTAACTCAAGCACTATGCCCTAATGGATTCATTACTATCACCTCATTGCTAGTAACTTCTAAATGAATGTTTAATTCCCTCACTAACTTACTACTAATGTAAGAATAAGTAGAACCCAAATCAATCAGTAATAAAACACTCTTGTCATACAATTGAAAAATACCTGCTATAATCTCCAGGTCATCTGTAACACCCCAACCTGTATCCGACCCGAATACAAGTCCGAGATGTCACATTGACTTTTTAAAACGATATTCTTATAAAATATCAAAACATTTATACTCATTTTAAGAAAATACAATAATATTCTATTAAATTATGCTTCATTATAAAAATATGGAAAAAATATGTATTTATGAACAGTACTATATAGTATGAACAGTACCATGAACAGTGAAAATTTCAAATATAAATTATGTATCGATGCATTGCTATAGTAACTTCGTCAAAATAAGTATAAATTCATAAAAATCTAATTTTTTACGTATAAATTTTTTTATTTACATATGCATTTAAAACATTACAAAATTCAATCATATGATTTTACAAATCCGATTACAAAACTGATTAGAACATATCGGATTTAAACCTTTATTTACATGCCAACCACTATCCTTATCACAAAATACATACTATACATTCCTTTTCTGATCTGATCTTTGGGAAGGAGAAACTAACTTGTCTTGCATAAATTTTACCAATCTTCCTCTTCTCGGAACCTACGCGTGAAACAATCACACGCTAAGTCGTTGACTTAGTAAGGCATGAAAACATATGATATTACTCTACTCATATCAATGCATAAACAATTAATACTATCATATCATATAAAAGCATATCTCCCATTGTATAACCAAAGCACACATATACATATATCATTAACATACTTATCAATACTCATATTACTATCACTACTTCTTTTTATCATGTAAGCATATACTGAACCTTTCTATACTCACCATCGGGCATCCATATCATTTCACAACAGAGCACACATAGTATCATATCAAGTTATTTATTATCTTTAAAGATTATTTATTTGCCCATGTACACTTCTGAGAACTTAAGGTATGTGAGTACATTGAGGTTGTGCACTATTATATTATCACCACAACTCATATAATTGTCCCGAAGGACCTATCCAGAGGTCATAAAAAACCTCGGCAATTGTCCATAGGTTCCGAAGAACCTAGGTAAACTGTCCATATGTTCCTTAGAACATAGATATAATGTCCATATGTCTCAAAAGACATAGGTAATTTTGTCTGTATGTTCCGTAGAACATAGGTAAACCCTCGACTCTTGGCATGCCAACTATACCACTAGCTCTCATATTACATAACATGGGCATTATCATTTATAACATTTCATATCACTTATTCTTTCTCTTCTGTCACATACCACATGTATGTGTAAGCCTATATTTCATATCATATAGCATATATTACATATTACATGTAATCACGTAGATTATTTCATATGGTTATCTCATTTGTTCATATACGTATGTCATTTCTTGTTCACATATGTTCATATATACATCACATAGTACGTAGAATAACATCAAGATATATATTATTTTCATGTATTTACTTTTTCATAGCTTATCACATAGGCATGTATTCTCATATTTTATTCTCATATATTCACATAACTTGGATCAAATATACATATAGTCACGTAAATCACTTTCACATAGCTTATATCAACTTTTCATTTCATTTCACACTTCTTGTTACATTGCTTATATCTTACTCTTATGTCTTCTCATATACATACACATATACATATTATTTCATTATCTTTATTATTTTTCTTAACATCACCATTAATCCCTTTTACTTACCATATTCATATCAATAACACATATACTCATGCACACATATAAATCATAGCAAACACATACTTCTATGAATTCATGCATTTTACTATTGGAAATAGACTTATCACAAGTCTTATTTTCCATTGAACATCATATACTAAATAATGTGCACCCACCTTAGCCTTTCTTGCTTTGAATAAATCATAATCCTTCGATTGTTCCGGAACTCGTTTAGGCTCAATATCTACATAAACATAATTTTCGAGATGATTATCAAAAGCCTAAACCTTATAACTTGATATTAATAAGTCAAGCTAGTTTAATGAGCCAAAATTCCATTTTTCCTTTAGGGGTGTACCGATGCACTATGGATGCATCGATACTCAAAATAGCTTCGAAATTTCCATGCATCGATGCACCCCTTAATGCATCGATGCACCTTCAAAATTGTCTTAGTGCATCGGTACACACTCATAGTGCATCGATGCACCTGCCCATAATAGGCTATTTCATCCGAAAATCATCAACACTTCACTCAAATTTTCATGTTTAAAATCCTTATTATGCTACTAAATTCATCTATAACAACTTTAACCAATTCCTATCATTCTAACACCTTATAATCTTCCATATTTCATCCAAATTCTTAAGGCTAAGAATCATACCAAATTTTTCATGTTATTCAAACTTAATGCTAACACTTCTAACTTCTTATTCTAATATATGACAAGTCAAATTCATCCTCCAAATTCATTTAAACCTTCTTATTCAAAATTTCACTTAAAACCCCATTTTCTTTAATCTGTCATAACTCCTTTATCTTTTGATTTTAAGATAACTTAAGCTTTCCTTAAGCTTAGTTATCATCTAATAATTAAAACCCAACCTTTAATTCAACAAATAATAAACTAATTAAGAAACTCACCTTTGCTTGTATGCTCCACAGTGGAGAAGACAAGAAGATGAAGAAGATGAGAGAATTGTGTGGAATCACAATGGTTCCACGTGGGTTTCCCTTATCTTATAACGGAAATAAAAATCTTTCATGTCAAATGACCATTTTGCCCATTAATTCTTTTAAAATTACTAACAACTTTCAGGAAATATCTCCACCTAAATCATTAAACTATTCAACTATTCAACTTTTATCACCAAATTCTAAAATTTTACAATTTAGTCACTAATCTGGTATTGAGGATGTTACATCATCTCGATCTTCATTAGTCTTGAGATTATACACTCTAGCAGTGGAACGATTTCCTGTTGAGTAGAGGACTCGGGCTGACTTCTTTCTCTACCACTACCTCTTCCCTCTGAGTCGTAGAAACAGACCTCTCTGGCTGCGTAAGCTCACCAGCTATCATGGGATAATCTCGGATAAAATACTCGGTGTCCCCACATTTGAAGCATGCTCCAAAAATACTACAAATTCTCAAATGATTTCTTCCACAATGAGGACATTGTCTGACTTGGCCCTGGTTAGATTTCCCAGCTCCAGACCCCACAGACTGAGTTTGTCTACCTCTCATCGGATTTGATCCTCTAGCGGAGGATGCCACTGACTTTGATCTAGCTTGGGGTCGAGAACCAACATCTCTGCCCTTTATGATGGTGCAGAACTTGAAGAAGCACCCGTTCTTTTAGATGTCTAAGCTCTTGGATCTTCGTACCTTTCATTATGAGCTCTTTCTAAATCTTTGGCACGGTTTACCACCTCTTGAAACGAAGACAGGTTCAACACAATCAACATTTCTTTTAATCTTGGACGTAGACCTTCCACGAACCATTCACAAGCATCATTCTCTGTCGGAATAAGCTCGGCAGCAAAGCAGCTCAATTTATTGAACTCACACTCATATTCATTCACTGTACAGTTCCATTGCTTTAAATTCATGAACTATTACTTCATCTATCAGATGAACTGATCTCCTATATATTTATGCTTGAATTCCTATAAAAACAAGGACCAAGTTATCTGATCACTAGTCATTCTCAGAGTAACATTGGTCCACCAAACCCTTGCTTGCCCTCTAAGCAAGGAAAACACTCCATCCAGCTTCTCCGAATCAGAACAATAAAATCCCTCAAGCATGATTTTCACATCATTGAGCCAAAGGTCCGTAGCAACAAGACTTTTTTCGGCTTCACCCTTAAATTCTAGAGCTCCTAAACCCTTCAACTCCTTCACAACATTCATTCTCTGAGTTGAAGAGCCAGGAGGTTGGAAACGCGTCAATACTGCATCCAACGTCCGGAAGAAAACATCTTGATCACTCACAGGGACTCCAGAAGGTGTATGTTCTTCACCTTGCCTGGCCAGGGCAGGTGAAATACTACTCTCAGCGGGCCTATCGTCTCCCTCTTCACTTCGAGAACTATCATGTATGGAAATCTATTAAGACATATTAATATTGTTCTATTAGCAAAACAACATACTCACTATTCTATCAGATCAGAAGTTCTCACTATTTTTGTTGGCATGTATACATTTAAAAATCATTATAAACATAGGTTTACACCTAGAACCGACTAAACCATAACTCTGATACCATTAAATGTAACACCCCCAACCCGTACCCGACCCAGATACGAATCTGAGGTGTCACATTTGACCTTTCAAAACTTGACTCTTATAAAAATCATGAAAATCTAAACTTTCATTAAATAAAATGCATTAATTTACATAAGTTAGACCAAAATAATACAAAATCGATCAGAGCATGTGTAATTCACAACTTGTTTACATGCTAACAAACTTAATACAACAAAATACATACTCTGTAAATTACTTCTGATCTGCTAGTAAATGTATGATGTCCTTGCAACTCCTAATTCTGGTCCTCCTGTTTCTTGGTACTTACGTAAACCACTTATACGCTAAGGCACAGACTTAGTGAGGCATAATAGAATATGTAACCATGAATTTATAAAACATGCGCTACTATCAATCAATCATAACATTACAATTTACATGTATCTACTAACTATAACACATACTATTATGATATGCGCATGTACATTCTTGAGAACAGGAGGTACTTGAGTACACTGAGGTTGTGCATAAATGTTGTCACCACAGCTCGAATAAATTCCCACTAGGGGCACTGAAAATTTATCCCGAATGACCACTATGTCCCGAAGGACCACTTATAATCCCTCGACTCTTGGCATGCCAATTATACCTACATCTCTCATATTATATAACATGGGCTTAAATATGAATATCTTTCTCATTTTCATATATCCTTTATCACTTCTGATATAGACACATCATTCACTGAACATACACACATATGATCACTTTTATTATTACACATACCTGGAGTTGTTCTCTTATAATTCTATACATTCATATTGTATTATGTTATAGCATTTAAGAGTTATGCAAGTACTTATTATAACCTTAACATATGCATGTATATGAAAAGGAAATCATAAAATCAAATATAGGAAATAGAATTATCACAAGTCTTATTTCCATTAAACTATATCTATAGTATGCACTCACCTTAGCCTTACTTGATTTGAATCAATTTTTGAACTTCTCTTTCTCTCAACCGTTTCTAATTCTTTGATTGTTCCAGAACGGGGTTACGTTCAATATCTACATAATTATACATTGATACATATCAGTATTCCAAATAACATACTCTAATCTTTCATTTCTTAAACTAAAGGAAAGACGAAATTTCTTTTTCTATTTAAAGTAGTATCGGTACCCCCTATAGGGTATCGATATATCCCTTAATTGTGGTATCGGTACCATGCCTAGGTATCGATACCCATATTGCATTCTGTAATTTTTCATTTCAAAAATGGTATCGACACCATCCTTAAGGTATCGGTACCCTTGGTATCGATATTGTTCTTTAGGTATCGATACCTAATGAATGTCTTCCTTAATTTTACTCTTGAAGTATCGGTACCTGATGAATCGGTACCGATACCCCTAGCCCAGAAATCACTTTTTAAGCCCGAAAATTACTTCATTTCATCTCAAACACTTCATGTTTTACTCCCTTTCATATTATTAACTCAAGTACACATACTTAAATCAATTTCTACTCATTCAATACATCCTTAACCTAAAAATCCCATCATCCATGTGGAAATCAATAATCATACCAAATTTTCAATATGTTCTAAATTCAATTCTATCACTGCATATCTCTTAATTAAGTTGATGACAAATCAATTCTACTCAAACTTCATTTACTAACCCTCTTCTAAGATTTCACTTATTCCCCTTTTTTCTTTAATCCTTCCTAACTCTCTTATCTTTGAATTTTAAAGTAACTTAAGCTTTCCTTAAGCTTAAATATAATCTAAAGAACATAAACCTAACTTAAATTCAATAAATAATCAATTAACAAGAAACTCACATTTGTCCACTAGCCTTCATGTATAGAGGAAGAAGAAGAATGAGAGAACTCTGGAAACTCACTTGGTCTCCCATTCATTCCACGTAGGTTAATATATAACTATAACATAATTTAATTATTTCCTTTACTAAATGACCAATTTGTCCTTCTATTCCTCCTTCTTTGTAATTCAATCCTACAAAACATTTCCCATATAAGTCCTTAAACTATTCAATTATTCTACTTTAGTCACCAAATTCTGAAGTTTAATAATTTAGTCACTAAGCCGGTATTGAGGATGTTACACTCTCTCTCTAAATTAAAAAAAGAAATGAAAAATTAAAAAAAATGATATTTATAGAAATCTTTAGGAGTAAATTGCACTTAGGTCCCCGTAAGTTAGGCGTGTTTTTGCAAAATGGTCACCTGAAGGGATAATTTTTATAATTTACCCATTTCTTATGCATGTTATATATTTTTGGTTTAATTTCTGTTTGGTCCCTATAATTTTATGCGTGTTTTGCATTTTGGTCACGTGTAGTGACTATTTAATTTTTTAAAATATTTAAGGATTGATTTAGTGATTTTACCTTTTTTATTTCTCAGTACTAACTTTTTGGTTTATTTTCTTCCAGGTCCCTCTACTTCATTCGTGTTTTTCCATTTCGTTCACTAGTCCTCTATTTATTTTATTTCTTTAATTTTATTCTATAATTTGAGTTTGTTACAATTTAGTTATTATTTTTATTATTCTGGTTTATTCAAATTTATTCACTGGTTTTTATTTTTATTCATTTTAGCCATTGTTTGTATTCTGTTTATTATTCTATTATAATTTAGATATAAAATCTTCAATATATGCATTTTAGTCACTAATTGATATGATTTGGCTAATATTTTTAGTTTTATTTCATTTTAGTTTCATTATGCTCATTATTTTATATTTGTGATTATTTTATATTTTTGTTTATTTTAATTCGAGTGCCTTATTTTAATGAATTCCATCTTGGTCATGAATGATTAAATTTGGTTTATTTACGATTACAACACCTAATCTGTGAAATATTTATAATGGCTGCCCTAATTTCTTGTTGGTTGTATTGTTTAATCCCTAAAGTTAACATTTTTTATTATTTTAATCCATTATTTATATATTTTTTAATTTCCCACTAGTTTTAATATTTTCAAATATTATTTTACATGAGGAATTTATAGAAACGCGCCTTAACTGACAATGAGTGTGTTTCCAAGAATTGTTCGAACAAAATAATATATTTTATTTTCAAATGAATTTTTGTTTTAATATATTTAATATATCTATTTTATCTAAAAACATGGGCAATATTATTTTGTATGGGGAATCCATGGAAGTGCCCCTTAACTGACAAGGAAGGTATTTCGAGAATTGCTCGTGCAAAATAATAACTCTTATATTTTTTTCTAAAAAATGATCATAATTAAAATATATATATTCGAATTTGCCAATTTCAATATTAAATGACGTATAATCGTTTAGGTACTGATTTCAGGCATTGTAGGGGTGTTAATCTTGCCCCACGCGTAATTGACTCATGAACTCTTTTTCAAAACAGATTTCTGGTTAAACGTAGACCAATTTTTTTATCTTTTAAAATTATTTTAAAATGTATTTTTAGGTATTCGACCTACCTAATCTAAAGGCCGATGTCGACTCCAAAAATATTTATACGTCTATTTTAAAATCCAACCTTTTTCCTAAAAATAAGTTGGATCGATCTCCTCCATAGCCCTAAAAAGCTTAAGGTATGTTCCGATAGCATGGCGACTCTGCTGGGGAGATTAGAGAGCTAGGCACTAATCAATTATACGTCATTTTTTCATTGAAAATGGTAAATTTGAATGATATTTAAATTTTAATCCTTGTTTTGTTTACATTGTATTGAATCATACATTTTTTATTTATAATTGTTCTAACGTGTGATTTACATGTTTCAGATTTGCGACCTTTGTTTTAGTCTATTGGTTTTTTGGATCGAGGCAAAGGATTGTGAGTTTCCCCCACTCGCGCTATAACCGTGCGATTTTTAGAGCCTTCTAACTGTGCTCTGTCCCCTTAGGTAGGGGTGATCACTACATTTACGTGAGAAAAATTATTTTTCTTCGTATGGCCTTTCGCAAGTAACCTCTGA